AAAAATTATCCAACCTAAGTCAGATATAACATCATAATTCAAACAAAACATATAACCATCATAATCATACATAACAATCATCACAATACAACTCTATTTCCCCCAAAATCACCATTCCAAAACCAACCATCAATTCTCATCAAACAACATTTCCACATGTGTGATTAGTTCAACTTACTAAACACGGAACAAACAAATCACACACAAACTGGACACACACAAAACACATGTTCAAAGAGAGAAATAATTATCTTCACCTTTATGTTCTATAGCAAAGAAAGATTACCAAAAAACACATATCAATAAGATTGCTAACAACCACCACCACAATATTGTCTGATTGGAATCAATGTCTTCCGGATGTGAAGTCACAAAAAGATAATCCCAAGCATGCTTACATGTATGCCCAAAAATGTGAGACAAAACTAAACTGAAAATTCGAAACTTATGTCCCTTNAATCAACGTCTTCCGGATGTGAAGTCACAAAAAGATAATCCCAAGCATGCTTACATGTATGCCCAAAAATGTGAGACAAAACTAAACTGAAAATTCGAAACTTATGTCCCTTTACTTTTCTCGTCAGTTAGAATCAACATAATTCAAAAAAACAAATCTTCAATAGCAACGAACTCATGTATGAAGGCCCTGTATAACAAAAAAAAATTATATATTAGTAAAAATATGGCTCAAACCAATTACTAAACNAAAATATTCAATAGCAACGAACTCATGTATGAAGGCCCTGTATAAAAAAAAAATTATATATTAGTAAAAATATGGCTCAAACCAATTACTAAACTCACCACATAACACACAATATAAATCTCAATTAAGACAACAATAAAATCATAAATATGGGCTACCATATTAAAAAGGGAAAATAATTATGGGAACCAACATAATGGAAAACCAACTCAATCACCATCTACCATATTATAGTTCTGGAAAATTAAAAGCTCTAAACAAACACTTTTCAAAACAAAATATATACTTCCTGAAAATTCAACCCGAAAACTAAAGTGGAAAAGCCGAAATTTTTTTTCCAGATTATTTACAAATTAAGTCTAGAATGAAAAAAAAAAAAAAAAGGTCACACTTGTCCCTATAGGCATCGTAATACAAAAATAAAAAACCAACAATTGATGCATTAAGGAAAAAAATTAAATTGAAAATAAAAAAATGTTTCAAGGCCTCTCGTTCAAAATGTCCAACTACTTGAGTTAATAATTGAAGTTTGTAACTAAAAGTGAGCATCAATACTTTGACCATCAAATCCAAAACCATACAGTATAACGTTCAAAGATTTTACCTTAATAGCATTTCAATGATAACATCAAGATTTTGCCTTAATAGCATTTCGATGTCATGGAAAACCCAAGTTTGAACATCCAACTATTACAAAACAAAACAAAACAACACTGCTACAATGTTTACAAACTCCAAATTAAAATCCATACAGATCAAACTTTTCACCGAACTCACAATTATATAACAGTGTTGCCTTAATAGAACTGTTTACCCAATCATTTACCAGATTCATAATTACAATAGTCATAAACATTTTTATACACATAAAATCATAGATCGTCATCCATCTGTCAAACAAATTTTGGCATTTAAGCATAATTTTAGTTATTTTCAATAGCATTCAATATCATATTTTTAGCATTTGCACAATAATATTACTGCAGTCAAATCATAAGCAGTCTACTTAAAAAGACCAAAAACAACTAAGTAAGTCACATGAGTAGTTCTAATGCCACAAAGTCATTCAAAATTTAAAAGCAGAATGAGTATTTTAAATGCATAAGCCATTGAATAGCAACTACAGTACTCCATTTTATTCCTAAATTGATCCCTTGATAGCTCCTTGATGAAGATCCAAGTAAGCAAAGAAAGCCGTCCAAAGATCACAAAAGAAAGGAACTAAGTACTTCAAGAGGTAATTTAACATACCACATAAAACTCGTCTATTCAACACATCTTGATTGCAACACATGGCAACACAGACCCACAAAAGTATTGGAGATTTGAACCACTTCCACAATCACCTTTCATGCTTTGCTTTTTTTTTTTTTTTCATTAGTTAAACAACTTTAGATGTATGAGAAAGTAGAATCCATTTAACAGCGGCATGTCTAATTCAAATTCAGAGACTTCATGAAATTCTTTTAATTTCCTGAGAGCAAAAAATATGTAGAATAAATGCTTAAGAGTGTAATAAGTTAACAAAAGACATAAACATGGGGAATATTCTTATTTTCTTCAACCTCCTCACTTTTTAGCCACTTAAATTCAAACTTTTCAATCTCCTTTAGTACCCATAAATCAGACATGTTGCTGCCCGACCCCATAAGCAATTAGTAAGCATCAAATTATAATATGTAAAAACAAACAAAAGAGTTGAAAGTAAATTAAAAAGCCTAAAATCCAAATAGTTAGCATACAAAATCGCTTGAGTGAAGCATTTTAACAAATAGTTAGCATACAACATTCAATTTGTCACAAACCTTATTTCATTAAAAACGCCAAATTTGTAAATGTCACAAACCTATTGAATGGAAAACCCCAATTTGAAAAACCAAACATTCAATATTACAAAACTTAGCACCTAATTAGAAAACCTAACACAGAATGTGTCTGCTGTGTTTTGTGTGTCTCTGCATGCTGCTGCGTGTGTAATGTGTGTGTGTGTGTGTGCCTCTGCCTTGGGTGTGTGGGTGGGTGAGCGAGGGTTATTTGTAGCGTGTTATGTGTGCGTGGGTTGTTGTGTTTGTGTGTATGTGTATGTGTGTGTGTGTATGTGTGTGTGTGCGTGAGGTGAAGGAAGAGATGTATGACAAAGAGAGAGAGAGAGATACCCGGGTTGTGTTGTCAGTGGGTTGAGCCATGGCAAAGAAGAGCAAAAGGTGAGAGGTAGAAGAGAGTTGCAGGGTAGAAAGAGAGAGAGAGAGATGGTGGTAGCAGATGTGTTACCGTTTGAGTTGGGATCTTCTGTGAGAGAGAGAGAGGTAGAGAGACAGTCTGATTGGGATTGGGTGGCGTGTAGGAGTTGGGTAACGTGTAAATGGGTTTAATTTTTGGCCGGGATTTGGCATTTGTATAAGATGTATTTTGAGCCTTTGGATTATGTCGAAAAAATTGAGATGAAATTTGAACCTTTGAATTAAAAGTGGATTTAATCTGAGCCGTCCTTATGCTTTCCCAAATAAATTAAAATTGAATTAAATTTTAAAATAGAAAAAGATTCAAATTAGGTCCTATCTTATTAGTATAGATGTTTGTGTTGAATATATCTTTTATTTTCTCATTCAGAAACGATATACCATCAAACTTGCCACTGATCTACCCTTACTCTAATAGAGTAAGTGGTTAAGTGTGAATCAAAAAAAGAAAAAGCCTTTAGCGCCTTATGTGGGACACTCGATTGTGGGCTAGGAAACCCCTCTTTAGGCCGTTAGTGTCCTGCGATCATGATAATTGTCCCGGGGAGGTGGGGGACTAGGCGATCCCACATCGGATAACTTCGGGTGTGTGAGTGAGTTTATAAATCTTCATTTTGCCCTTACTCTGATAGAGTAAATGGTTAATTGTGAATCATAAAAAAAAAACAAAAAAAAACTTGTCATAAGTCGTATGAGACTTGTGATTCAAAGAATTAATGAAATTAAGAAATATTGAGTCAAATATAACTAAACTAAGCCAACTAGTGTGGATATTGCTTAACAATTAACCTATGCTCATAATTAGAGGTATTAAAAATATGATACAACTCATTAGCACGACATAAACATGATAGAAAATTAGAAAGGTTAGGTCTTGCTTAAGACACCCGTTTAATAAACAAGTGGATTCGACCTGCCACCATTAATAAATGAATCGTGTATATGTGAAGTTAATCAGAAAAAATACACGACACAGCTTGTTTATACACTAGTTATACATGGTTCATACACGACATAAACCATATATAACACTGTTTGTTAGACATGAATTAATAAATAAATTAAATAAGAATAAAATATTTTTTTAATACCAACTCACTANACACCATTAATAAATGAATCGTGTATATGTGAAGTTAATCAAAAAAAATATACGACACAACTTGTTTATACATTAGTTATACATGATTCATACACGACATAAACCATATATAACATTGTTTGTTAGATATGAATTAATAAATAAATTAAATAAGAATAAAATATTTTTTTAATACCAACTCACTAAAATTCAAAACGAATCCCATCGTTTGACAGGATTGAGAGGTCTACCCACAACATCCCTATTTCGAAGCGTAAAGAGCGGCAATCAGGCCAACAGCCCAGNGCCACTTAAATTCAAACTTTTCAATCTCCTTTAGTACCCATAAATCAGACATGTTGCTGCCCGACCCCATAAGCAATTAGTAAGCATCAAATTATAATATGTAAAAACAAACAAAAGAGTTGAAAGTAAATTAAAAAGNTAAAATTCAAAACGAATCCCATCGTTTGACAGGATTGAGAGGTCTACCCACAACATCCCTATTTCGAAGCGTAAAGAGCGGCAATCAGGCCAACAGCCCAGATGGTTCTTGAGGACCATTCCAATAAACGACAATTTGTTGGGACTGCAGAAGCCCCATAAAATAGATATCTCCTGAACCTGAATATTATCCCAATCAGTTCAGTAGCCTTGCCAATTTAAAAGCTTTTCCTAACGAATGTTGAGAACATTAGAATGTGGGTATACAGCAAAACGTCAGTACCAGCTGTTGTGGTCTTCTTGCGTGGATCTTAGGTATCTCACTGAGGACCCATGACTGTGAGAACTGAACTCAATGAAATAACCAATGGGTCTGATTAATTATTGTTTGTGTTTGTTTGATTCGATTATCTGAACTGGGTCTTTCATTTTCTCTTCGTTTGGTGCTTTTGTTGTCATATGGGTGTTCTAATGATGGCTAGAGAAGAGAGAATTAGCCTGATTAGAGTTGGAAGAGTCTGTTTGTTGGCATAGAAATTCAGGTATCTACACACTAAATTCTCGTGGAAATTTGGTATAATTGCTTTTAGTTTCTTTAATTCTTGTATATTGATGAAATAATGCAATGCAGTACTATGAATTCTCTTCAACATTCTCTCCTCGCCCTCCCTCTTTCCCTCTCACTTTCTCAACATTGTTTTCAAATTTCACATCTAATTCTTTATTTTGCCGGTGTCTTTGGTGACAAAGAACTACCGGGGGAGCTGTACTTGTCTGTTTACAGCCGACTTGGATCTTGATTAGATTATACAACATTAAATAAGTCGGCAAGTTCTATTAAATTGTTTGATTTGTTTTGTTAAATTAGTAGCATTTGACTTTTTCGATGAAATTATGTCATAATACAGCTCAAGAGAGTCCTAGATCAGTTGTATATACAGATCAATTGTCCCTTGTGATGATCCGAAAGGCGTGGCTGAATTTAGGACAATCAGAAAATCCAATACAGTTTTTCGAAAAATGGAGGGTAAGGATGAAAGCAAAAGGATGAAGAAGAATTTGAATGTATCTTGAATGTACAAGGTAAAACAGAATGGAATTGGTCTCTAATAAAGGGACCACAGAAGAGTTATATAATACATCCTCATTCCAGCTCATGGAGGTCTATAGAGGAGGTCAGAAACTGAACCAAGTCATAGACTCATTGTCGAAGAGGGTGAGTTGTGGCGAGAAGCCCAAAGATATGCAAAAGACTTGCTGAGGGGAGCTCTTGATTTACAGGATTCTCTAATCATGCTTGGCAAGCTACAAGAAGTCTCTAAGTATATGTCTAGATTGAAGAACAAGCAGATGGAAAAAGGTTCTGGAGAAAGGGCTGATGAATTGGGGATTGAAAGAATTAATTCTTATAGAGGATTTGATGAAGTGGGAATTGATAGAACTAAATCGAATCGAATAGCTGCTGAAGTGGGTATTGAAAGAACTAAATTGAATCGAAGAGCTGATGATGTGGGGATTGATAGAACCAATTCCTATGGATTCAGAGATCACATTTTGTCAACAGAATATCAAAGGCCAAGACTTTCTGCTGATGGGTTTTCCAGGGATTGCTATGAGGAGCTTAGGAAAGCGATTAGAGACGGTCTTGCTAGACAAAACCTGTTGCCAAATGTTTCTTCTCAAGAAAATGTTTATTTTGATAGAAGAAAATTGGACTCACTTACACAAATCCCCTCCTTTGGCTCAAGCCATTCCTCAAAGGATCACTCCCTTCAGTTTACTTCATCTGACTCTTCATCATCAAAGGTTGAACAGGAGAAGCCAAAAGGCCCGAATTTGATTGCCAAGCTTATGGGTGTTGAAGAAATCCCCTCAAAACCATTGCAGTCTGATTCCCAGAAACGGTTAGAGGGCGATAAGGCTTCGAATCAGAGTCGCCTGATCTATGATGTTGATATGCCAAAGGCTAGGAAGCCTCACTTTGATGTTCAAAAGGTGGATCAAAAGTGGAGGACTTTGGAAGAAATAATTGAGACTATGCAATTCAAAGGGCTTTTGAAACGCAATTCTGCTGATGGGTTAAAGAATCAAACTCATCATTCAATTGTTTCCAATTTGAGAAAGAGGCTTATTCATTATGCCCCGTCCATTGTACTCATAAAACCTGTGCATGTTCCATGTCTAGATGCAGAAGCGTTTCACAAAGATAAATCTATACATGAAGAGGAAGCTTTGGATTCTGAAGAGAAGCTTAGAAACTGGAAAATAAAAGATGAGGTTCCAACACGAACCATCAGCAATCAGGAAGCAGCTTTGAATTCCCGTTTCACGCCGAAAAAAAAGGAAGTAGAAAACAATCCAATCAAAAGGCTTAGGCAGGAAAAAGAAAGCAAGGACCGCAAAGATGTGCTTGCAAAACCAGATGAAAGAGAAGTCAAGACTAAGGAAGTGCGATCTTACAATAAGCCGAAAGCTTTTATTCCTGGGAATCCCAAATTGCAGAAGAAGGAACCAATTGAGAAAAAGGTTGACAAAATCCAAAAGCCAGCATCTAGTGCAAGGAAACCTGTAGAAATGGAGAATGTCACATCTAAAGGTGTTTCTAAGCTTCACGATCAAGGCAAAGTGACCTCTACAAAAGTAAGAAGGCCCGAGAGTAGATCCAACATTTCAAAGATTCAGACTCCCCAGGTTTTGTCTAGCAAGACTGTGACACCCACATCACCGCCTGTATCTCGTAACTCCTGCAATCCGAAGAAGAGAAGGCAGTCAGCAAGCCTTTCGGAACTAATGTGAGTCTTTAGTCTTAATGAACTTTATCTGGGAAACATTTCTTTCTGATTTCTGCATCCATTTATCGTTGTTTTTGANAAGCGAAAAATGAGAAGGCAGTCAGCAAGCCTTTCGGAACTAATGTGAGTCTTTAGTCTTAATGAACTTTATCTGGGAAACATTTCTTTCTGATTTCTGCATCCATTTATCGTTGTTTTTGAATTTTTCTGAGGGAATTAAATGCAAAATTGATTTTGCTTTTTAATGTTAATGCAGGTTGAAAATAGAGGATGCCAGGATGACGACATGCTGATCGAGCGTTATTGTGAAAATGAGTCTGATATGACAGTCACCAGAAATACACTGGTGGTACAACTACTTGCTGGGAACAGGACAGATGCTTCTGAAATTCTCATCAAAGGTAAGGCACATACTTCATCTATTGCTCTGGTGCACTCTTGGTGATTAAATCTTGATCATCTAGGATAGTCTTTTTTGGTGATTTAGCAAATTTTGTGTGTGAACACTTATGTATGCTCATGTATATTCTATGGAAGCACATATAAAGTACTTACTTGGGGGGCTGATACTTGGTGCAAGGGAAATAGTTCGTCATGAATGGGGGCTTGCCACTCCCTGCAAATTGTGCCATAGGTTAGCTCTTTACCCAATCTTCTGCCTCAAGCGTCCAACATCAGCAAGACCTACGCTACGTAATGGCTTACGTGAACTTAGAATTTACCTGAGGCTACATCGGGCATGAAAACCATTTAGTAGATAGAATTTTGGAATATACTCAAACTATTTTAGCAATACTCGTTCAGCATCAAGGAAAGCACATGCATCTCAATAGCTGAAGTCTGGGGTTTTACGATTAGAAGTACCATTTACATACTAAGGTAGTGATACATGGTTGGTCATCCTCTCGGCATAGTGGGATCCTACACCTGTACTTGAAAAGAAACAATATAATTCGGAGGCAGACAGGCAATAATTTACCTTATGATGCATTTAGAGGAGTTGATGGCTAGTAAAATATCTTATTCCAAAGGTTCCGAGTTAGTACCACACCAACACCACCATCTTTGTACACAACATAATTGTGTGGATGGACCACCCAAAAGGGCCATACACGAGCTATCTATTATAGTTTACAGATGAATATGTTATACATGCAACCCTCTGTTTGATTATTAATTTTTTTTGGAAAAGTTATTAGTTAGATGCACGTGGACTTTGTCTGCACAGNAAGAGCTATCTATTATAGTTTACAGATGAATATGTTATACATACAACCCTCTGTTTGACTATTAATTTTTTTTGGAAAAGTTATTAGTTAGATGCACGTGGACTTTGTCTGCACAGGGGTGCTATGAAGATGTTTTAGCTGACATAATATCTTCAATTGCAGAGAATTGTGACAACAGCCAGAATTCTCTCTGTGAGGCTACCCTGCTGATCACCCAACATGAAAGCAACAAATCTGTTGCAGAAGCTGACTATTGCAACACTCGCAGTGTAACCAAGAAGAAAAGTGACAAAAGCAGGCTTAGTTCAAGAGATCTACTTTTGAGCAGTGCTTCTTTCATCAGTCACGCAGAGGAGCTATTTGATTTTAATGCTTGTAAACCTTTACATTTACATGATAGTTTACATGATTTTGAAACTGCCAATACCAGAATGTTATTGGACTGTGCAAATGAACTACTGGAGCGTAAAAGCCTACGACACACTTCAATCGTTCATCCAATGTCACAAAACCCGATATGGAATTCAAGAATTTGCATCTCCCTGAACCAGTCGGTGGAAGATGTTTGTGACGAGATCGAGAGGCTGAGTAGCTATAGCAGGCTTCCCGGAGAAAGCCTTCCTGTGGATACTGTTAATGTGGTGCTGGAAAGAGATTTATGGTGCAAGGGAGTGGCGAGTGGAGCATGGCATGTGGGATGGAGGAATGGATTTACTTCGGGCGAAGTTGGACAAGTAGTGGGTGAGACAGAGGAGTTGGTTATAAGTGGGCTAATTGAAGAGCTGTTTATGGATTTTGTGCTTTAGAATGTTGTAAATGTTTGGATTTGTGCATTTTAGAGGGTCTTCTTATTATTTTTTGTAAATCGTTACTAGAGTTCATAGTTATAGCAAAATAGGTGAAAAAAATATTTTTTATTATGAGGGCCATAGTAGACATTTTTTTGATCAAACTTTGTCCAGACATTTGGAAGAAGCATGTTTTGTTATAAACTTAACGTGGGCTTATGCACTGCCCATTTCTTACAAATCTCATTTTAAGACATTTGGAAGAAGCATGTTGTGTTAATTTGTTAAAAAAAAAGCCCCCGAAAATGTTATCGTTGGTATATTATATGTGTGAGGCTCAGACATTATCAATTTTTGTATAGTAATATAATTTGTCGTCAAATTAATCTTACTAGTTGTGCCTATGATTGATTCAATGTGACTTGGAGCTGTGTATCTGTAAAAAAATTTTCATGTTTTTAACCATTTCTTGTAAAGTTCTATCTTTGTATCATTATAAGTTCAAGTTTTATTTGCTAAAAAAGAGAAAAAGAAAACTCAATAACTGTGGTACGTATGCCTTTTCTTTTCGATTTTAATTTTAGTACTCTATTTTTTTATTTAATAATTGTGAAGATAAATATGTAATTCGACCCATAAAAATAAGTAAAAATTAGAAGTCAGTATAATAGTGAAATTTCTATTTGACTATCTATTTTTTTAATCTTGCTAATTATGCCATTAAGAATAAATTAATTTTTATAATTTTAATTGTTTTTAATGATTTGAAAGAACATTTATTGGAAGTTTATCAAATTAGACGGCTATAAAAGCCCTAAAAATTAAAGAGTTCTTTAAAAGTCGGTACACTTAATTAGACTTATTTGACAAAAAGTATATAGAACAAAATGTTTTTAAAAATAAAAAAATAAAGGGCTTAGACCTCCCAAAAAACTTAATAGAATAAAAATACACTTTTTAAAATAATTGGGATAGAAGTACATATGCTAAAAAAAAGTCATAAAAGTCTTTTTACTCTTACCATAAATAGTGCATATTTAATTGAATGTGAGTATAAACCCCACACTTTTATCTTTATATATGTATACAGGTATATATAGTAAGTAATTATTTCTTTTGAAATGTTAATCTGGTAAAATTCGAGTAAATAGTAATTTAAACCTAGTTTTAATTTGTAAATATAGGAAATCGTTGTAATAGAACTTGTA